TTCCCAGAGGGATTCTCATAGGATTTTTGGATTTATATAGGGATTTGCATCTGGATTCGTATAGGTATTCTTGTTGGGATACCTGTAGGGATTGATATTACGGATTCGGGACTCCTGATCCGTACTGGGATTCCTGCTAGGATTCGTATAGGGATTCATGTGGGCATTCCTGTAGGAATTCAGATGGGGAATCATGGAGGAGGAGGAGGAGGAGGAGGAGGAGGAGGAGGAGGAGGAGGAGGAGGAGGAGGAGGAGGAGGAGGAGGAGGAGGAGGAGGAGGAGGAGGAGGGAAGAGCAGGGGGGATGAGGGGCGACAGGAGACGACGATGACGTCGACGACGACGACGACGAAGATGACGACGACGACGACGAGGCGTGAATCGAGCAAGGTTCCTTTTGAGTTGAGGTCCCGGGCAGGGCGGAGGACGAGCCGAGGCGAGAGCGCCGATCCTGAGTAACAGGGGAGGAAGTATCGAGCCGGAGCGCCTGTTTGGTGGGGAAGCGGGCTGTCGGCGGCGAGCAAAAGCACCGGGCCTGAGTAATAGAGGAGGAAGTATCGAGCAGGAGCGTTGTTGTTGTTGTTGTTGTTGTTGTTGTTGTTGTTGTTGTTGTTGTTGTTGTTGTTGTTGTTGTTGGGGGGCTGGTTTCGGCAAACCCCGAAACGCCTGAGGGTGAGCCTGGATTTCAGGGGAAATGCAGCTGGCGCCTATGCGAGAGCGGCCGTGCGCATTTAAGGGGTCCACCAGTAACAACTGTTTTTAGTATGTAAGGTTCAACAACAATCATATTAAGACTGTTCGCTCTTATATGCGCGCGCGTCACCCAGCGTGTATATCCTGCCCTCGATGCCCGCCCTCTTCGTCTTCGATCATACCCCTTTAGGGGCATATATTCTTTACATGCCGCGTGTAGTTGGCGCAGCCCCTAGAACGCGAAGAGGAGGGGGAATGGTGGAAGGGAAATCGAGGAGGGAAGGAGTGGGGGAAGGGATGGAGGAGGGAAGGGGCAGGAGGTATTCCGAGACGGCCTGGCCAGAGGCCCCCAAACAGAGGAACAGCGCTCTCGCTCCAGACTTCCTCGCGAATTGCTCAGGTTGGTGTTTCGCCCACCTGCGCGTTAGCTCGCTTGGCGGCCATAGCGGCGTGGTGCGCGTACAGAGTACCGAATGCTTCTCCCAGGAGCTGGCATGAAAAGAAGCCCGTCCAAAAAGGGAGCGGTTCATTGTCTTAGTGGGCAGGTGCACGGGAGAAAGAAAACACACATACAAATAACAGTTGCTTGTTACATCCCATGTTCGCATGATGGTCGTCGTCGGCGTCGGCGTCGGCATCGGAGGAGTTGGTGGGTAGGGGGGATCTGTTTTTTTTTGGGCATGCGAAGGCTAATGCCCAAAACCTGCTAAAAAAATAATGACCCCCCCTCCCCCCTGGATCCGACTGCCATTAATTCGCCGCAGAATAGCATGTTTTAACGTGTCCCCCTGGAAAATATTCCATGCGCGCGCGGCGGCTTTGCCCCCACGCACTGTGCATGTTCCAACAGGGTGGGCCAGGGCCGCCGCGCGCACGGCGGCCTTGCCTCACGCAGTGTGCATGTTCCCACACAGGATGCGCGCGGAGGCCCTGGCCCTTAATGGGCCAGGTCCGCCGTGCTGACGGCGGCCTTGCCCCCACGTACTGTGCATCTTCCCGCGCAGAATGGGCCAGGGCCGCCGCGCGCTCGGCGGCCGTGGCCCTTCGCGCATGGCGTGTTTTCCAGCACGGAATGGGCCAGGGCTGCCGCCCGCTCGTCGGCTTTGCCCACGCGCGCTGTGCATTTCCCAACACAGAATGGGCCTGGGCCGCCGCGCGCGCGGCGGCTTTGCCCCCACGCATTGTGCATTGTCCTGTGGCCCTTCGCGCATGGCGTGTTTTCCAACGCAGAATGGGCCTGGGCCGCCGCGCGCGCGGCGGCCTTGTCCCCACGGACATCCGGTTCTCGGTAAAAGAACTTGCGCGATCAATGTCGTCACCAACTTGGGGCTCGTGGAAAGGTCTACTTGAACTTGGCAAGTACCTCAAGAACCACTATCGGTCGGGCTACCGCTACCCTTACCAGGACAACCCCAGGGAGCTAACCGTCTGGACCGGCACCGACTACGCAGGGTGTAAACGGACACGGAAGTCAACGAGTGGAATTGTAGTAATGTGGGGATCTCATATGATCAAGTCTTGGAGTTCAACTCAAATTGACATTGCCTTATCATCTGGTGAAGCGGAGTATGATGGCGTGGTAAAAAGGCGCCTCAGTGGCATTGGGGCTGCAATCTGTCTTGGGGGACTTCAACGTCGAGTGCAGCATCATCTTGAAGAGTGACGCCAGTGCGGCCATCGCAGTCTCCAGCCGTCGAGGTTTAGGTAAAGTTCGGCACATTGAAGTTTGTCAACTATGGCTTCAGGACAAGGTACGACGAGGAGGCATACAAGGGGCCAAGGTTGGCGCTCATGAAAATGTTGCGGATGCTTTGGCCAAGTACTTGAGTCAGGATGGAATGATCATGCACATGAGGAGTACTAACCAACATTTCACCGAAGGGCGGCACGAACTAGCACCCGCTACGGAGTGCCAGCGACGCGTTTGCCCCACTTGGTTTTGATTCGGGCTCGTTGTCAAAAGGGCCATCGTGCCCGTATAACCATGTTTTCCTTGAAGAAGCCCAACGTTGTGGGCAGACCAGCCGGCTTACTTGCCAGGCTGCCACAACCTTCGGGTCACCATCTCCCCGAATATGTTGGAGGTTGGTATTCGCTTTCACTTTCTGATCGCATAGCGAATGTAACCTGCGGCGTGGCTGCCGGCCCAATTGGGCCGAGGGGGGTGCAAATAATCACCGCCCCCACGCCCGCACGAGCTTGCAGTAAACGTAGCAGCACATGGAACGCCGGGCCGTGCCTGACGAAATTCTCTGGCTCAAGGCGCGATTTCTCGCAGGGACTAAAACAGCGCCATCGAAACTACCACGTTTAGCCCCTCCTCGAGACTTTACAGGAGGAGGAGGAAGAGGAGGAGGAGGAGGAGGAGGAGGAGGAGGAGGAGGAGGAGGAGGAGGAGGAGGAGGAGGAGGACGAGCAGGGGGAGGAGGAGGAGGAGGAGGAGGAGGAGGAGGAGGAGGAGGAGGAGGAGGAGGAGGAGGAGGAGGAGGAGGAGGAGGAGGACGTCGAGCACGACGAGGACGACGAGGACGAGGAGGCCCCCCGGATACCCCCGGGAGGCCCCCGGAGGGCCGCGCTTCTGCTGTTGTTGTTTGCGCTGCTGCTGCTGCTTTTGCTGTTACTGCTCATGCTGCTGGATCTGCTGCTGTTGCTGCTGCTACTGCTAGCGCTGCTGGACGCCGTCAGAGTAATCAAAAAACAACTGCGCACCCTGAAGCAATAAGCAGCAGCCAGCACACGCCGAATATTTTGGCATTCGTGGACGATGGTCCACGGGTCAGCCCTAGCCAACTACAACGCCGGGAATATCGCGTGCGAGACGTGGTAGCAATGTCAGCGTGCTGGGCCCAGCGCGTGCGCTGATGGGCAGTGGCAGTGGGCGCTGGCATTGCTCAACGTGTTGCGGGAGGCGGAGCGGCATCCCTACGTCGATCACCTACAGTGCCGGGGCCAGCGCTTGAGAGAGCGACGGGCAGCGGGCTATTTCGTGAGAAATGGTGATGTGGCAGCATGGGCTGTGAACCAGAGCCTATTGTATTGCACTGCGTTACTTTGCGTCGCACGTGCATGTGTATTGCTTCGTATTTCACATTGCCTTGGTTCACATTGCTCTACTTTGCCCTGGACTGTACTCCATTGCATCGCCTTGCACTTGCTTCGTTCGCTTCTGTTTGCAATACCTCGCGTTCAATTGTCCTCGCATCCGGTTTCCATGGCAATGTGCCGCATTGCAGTGCCATTTCATCGATTGCAGTTCTTTCACCGCTTTGCGCTTCTTCGCATTGAATTGTATGCAAGAGTCCTTGTCGTTTATGCGTCTGTGCTCGGTCAACGTTGTTGACATTTCTTCACCTTAGTTTCAACGGCTTTGTTGGTAACTACAAAGTGGAGCCGTGAGCTTGTCAAGGGCTGCGGCTTGCTACCTAAGCGCTCGCGAAGCGCGCGTGGCCCAAGAGGGCCCCAACAGGGCTCCAAGATGGACCCAACAGGGGGAACTGGAGCTATCGTGTCGAGCCATCTGCCCCAAGATCCCCCCCCACCGCCAACAGGCCCCCAAGAGGCTTCCCAAAAGGCTCCCAAGAGGCCCCCAATAGGCCCCCAGGAGGCCCCAGCAGGCCCCTGGGAAGCCCCAGGAGACCCCCAAGATGCTTCCAACAGAGTTCCGAGAGACTTCCACAGAGACCCCACGATGCGTCTATGAGGCATCTGGCGCACAACTCAGGCACACACTCCCCTGATCGACCCCTGACCGCCGTCAGGGCGGCTGCGGGAACCTCGAATCGGGCGTTTTCGCGTTTGGGGATTTGGGCGTTTTCGCTTTTTCGGCTTTCCGACGCTCCACGACGGCCCTAGGGGGCCCCAAGACCGCTTGAAGGAGGCACAAGAGGCCCCCGAGACGGCCCCAGGACGGCCCAAGAGGCCAAGAGGGCCTGAAGATGGCCCAAGAGGCATCCAAGACGGCCCAAGAGGGCAAATCACGACATCGGGTGTTTGGGCGCTCGGTGCGACATCGATTCCGACAGAGGATACAGATACCGGAACCCTCCCACCGTTCTCGGCCTTTTGAGCCTCCCGGGGGGCCCTCGTCGCCACGGTTGGATTCGCCCCGAAGTCCTGGTCAGAACGAGCCCTGGGAGATGTCCAGGGAGTGCCCGTATGGTATGGGTATCGTTTTTTGCCCTCCCTCGAAAACCTGACCGCGCAAGCCGGTTACGAACGTGGTTCGCTCGTGCGGAAACTTCTATGCAGGCCCCCCCGCACCCTGCCCGGGCACGGGCGCGGCGTCCCCCCATCAGGAGAAACGCTGCAGCCATTTTGGTTCAAGGATTAGATATTGGCTCGCGCAGTCAGCGCGGTTCTCATCCAATCCTACAACACTCCTCGTTGTTCCCGTGCAGGATGAAAGCCCCAACAGCATTCACGACCGTGTGGCTGGGGGTCTTGTTGGTCACCGCGGCCAGCATTCATGTGCACCCGGATACCAATAGGTCACGCATGGAGGCAAACTCGTCGACTTCTTGGACCTTGGTGTTTCGACAAACGGTCCCGTATTTGTTTTCTTCCAATCAGTGGTCGCTGAACTCGGGAGATTCCTCCAATGCCAACTACGCCATTCTCGACCAGTTGGAAAACTATCGCGGAGCCGACGGAAAGTTCACATTTAAGTTAAACTGGCCAGGGTCAACCTACCATGGGGCAGCTATGCTGGACCAGATCTGGAAGCAATCGCTCAACCCAGTGGGGTCAAGCCAGGCTTCAAGCAGGCCAGTCGCGGGTTACGAGGCGGTAAGTGTCCCTTATACAGGTATGTATTGGGGAGGTTTGGAAGGAGGGAGCAGTTACGCACTCCTTGATGGGTCCGTAGCAAGTCAACTATTTTTCTACACCGTTGGCCTTTACCAGGAACGGTCATACGGCATACCCTGCGCCGCTAGCACGACGACGGATTACCACCTCGGGTGCTCTGTTGTCGAGCTCTACGTGGGTGGGACGCCCAGCCCGACCTCCAGCCCGACGCCCAGCCCGACTCCCACTCCGGTAAGGAATTGTTCACGCTTCGCGAATCCCTGCCAGCCCATCCCAAAACAGCCACCTTTGCAACGTGCACAGGTTATCGGGAATTGTCGGATTGCGTTGTCTGCTAGAGCACGGGAGGGCGAAGGGAACGACGACAAAGAAGAATAGCACCAAGACGACGACGACAACAGGAGTCAAGAGTCAATATCAAGACCTTTGCGATCGTTCTCTTTGGGATCGCCTTGTCGGCCTCTTGGGAGGAATCGTACAGCCCTCTTGGGAACATTTTGAAAGCCTCTTGGGGCTGTCTTGGGGCCCTCTTGGGGCTCTGTTGGGTTTCTCTTGGCGGCCTTGGAGGCCCTCCTGGACCATCCTGGAGGCCATCGATCAAAAAGGGAGGGCTCAATTACGCCTCTCCCCGTCGGGGCTTTCAAATGAGCCATAATGAGCCTCTTGGGGCCCTCTTGGGCCGCTCTTGGGCGCTATTGGGCCTCTCTTGGAGCCATCTTGGGGCCGTCTTGGGGCATCTTGGAGCCGTTTGGAGGCCCCAGAAGCCCATCGGGAGCGAATCGGGGAGAAGGCCACACGCATTACTCGACATGGGGATCTTCATATGTGCATTTCATTTTCTTAGCATGTATTTTTCCTATCCTAAGATGGGGTTCTTGTCGTTACTCTGACCGCGCCGGAGACCTCACACACAGAACACCTAACACACCTCACACCATCACTCCTCCTTTCCTCTCCCTCCTCCTCCTTCTCCTCCTCCTCCTCCTCCGTAGACACACTCATCACACATGCACACTCATACTCAGACTCGCTTCTCACTCAGACTCACTCATACTCAGACTCACCCATCACTCAGACTCACTCATCGCTCAGACTCACTCATCACTCAGACTCACTCATGCTCATTCATCACTCAGACTCTGTCATCTCTCAGACTCACTATTCTTAGTTGAGGGAGTTTCTGTGGAACTCACGTCATCATCACCCCCGGCGCGAAGTGAGGCCCCCGACCACGCCTCCAGGGACCATTTCCGGATCTCCACCGGATGCGCCAGATGCGCCGGGAGAATCATCAACCGGCGGTTTTCCATTGCAAAAAATAAGGTAAAGTGCGCACCGCCGCGGCCGCCGCGCGCCCATGCCGAAATCTTACCAAAACCTGAGGTTTCGGAAAGATTTCAGCATGGCGCGGCCATAAGGTGTTGTTAAAAATACCACGCGGCACACCCAGCGGCGTCCGCCACGATCTCGGCCCCCACGATGGCGCACGTTGGCTCATAATCCTATGCAACAAATACATGAAGTGCACACCGCCGCGGCCGCCGCGCGCCCATGCCGAAATCATACCAAAACCTTAAGTTTCGGAATAAAGATAGCATGGCGCGGCCGTAATGTGTTGCAAAAAAGACCATGCGGCGCACACGGCGACGCCCGCCGCGCGCCCGGACCCTTCTATATACAGAAACTTCCAATCAACCGCAGAGCGGCCGGCTAGTACTCATACTCATACACTAATCACACTCACTCAGGTTCACTCATCGGATCACACACACACGCATACACACACACGCACTTTTCCCTCCTCCGGCGCAGAGTCAGCTCCAGCGCGTTCGTAGCCCAGGGACACTGGTGGCTAAATTTGCATCTGCGTTGATATGCAAGCCCGCTCGTGATCGACGAGCAGGGGTGAACATGCAAGACCGCCACAACATACAGAAAAGGCAGACAATATCCCTCTTAGATCGAGGCCTGCGCGAACTGGGCAAGGTACACAGGCTAGCGGTGAGGGCTTCGCGCCTGCTGGCATCCACACTTGGCCACAAGCGCAGTGGTGCCCACCAGCACGGATGCGTATGGGAGGTGTGCGAGTCCCCCAAGAGGTGAGCGAAAGGTGCGCGGGAGGTGTGCGAGAGGTGTGCGAGAAACCGTGGCCAGTGCCACGGCCATCAGGGACAAGGAGAGAAGACGTGACAGCCGGAGGCATCAGCCCAGGCAGCCGTGTCCCCCAACAAGGACCTGACCGGGATACGCACACGCGCACACGCACACAAACGCGGGCACACGTAAAAACACCCGTGGAGCGCCGAGCCGCGAGGCAGCCGTGTTAGCTGCCGAAGCCCGGGCGCACGAGAGGAGGGGAGGGAGAGGGAGGAGGCGGAAGGGGGGAGAGGAGGCGACGGCAAAAACGCCGGCTGCCGCAGTCCGCCGAAGCGGCGCGCGGCAAGCGGGGGAGCGCCGAGCCGCGAGGCGTACGTGTTTCGTCAGCCTGCGCCCGGCCGCTCGGGAGAAGGGGGCGGAGGGGGAGGGAGGGAAGGAGAGGGGAGGAGGGAGGGAAGGGGAGGCGAACGCAAAACGCCAGCTGCCGCAGTCCGCCGCAGCGGCGCGCGGCAGGCGGCGGAGCGCCGAGCCGCGAGGCGAACGAGTTTCGTCAGCCTGCGCCCGGGCGCTCGGGAGGGGTAGCGGCCCTTTTTTTTTTTTTTTCCTTATTCTTCTTCTTTCTTTCTTTTTTTTTTTCTTCTTTTTTTTTTGTTGCCCCCCCCCGGGCGAGTGGCAGCGAGGGGCAACTCTTCGCCCCCAACACCCACTGAGCGCCTCCACGACCACGCCGATCCACAAGGGAGCAGGCCCGAGGTGAGGGCGGCCGTAGCCAATCAGGGATGACGTCCCGGTGCGCCTCAGCCTGTTGTGGTGCGATCAGGGATGACGTCCGGGTTGGGCGCATCCCATCGGAACCGGCAGACCAGCCCCCGGTTGGCCGCACGCCACCGGCTAGGCTCCGCCAGCTGCCTGTCGCGCCACCGTTCAGACTCCACCTCCCGCCGCCGGGCTTCTGCCTGCATTTCTTTACGCCCTAGCAGCTGCCATGGACTGCGGGTGTGCTGTCCGGGCATCCCATTGGGTGCTGCGGGTGTGCTGCCTGTGGGTGCGGGTGTGCGCTGCGGGTGTGCTGCTCGCGGGTGTGCTGCTTGCGGGTGTGGTGCTGCGGGTGTGACTGATGCTGTCACTGTCGCCTCGGCGGCTGCTTGCGGGTGTGCTGCCAGCCAGTCAGCCCAGCACCCGAAGTGCAGGGGAGAGCAGGGACCCCCAAAAGGCGGCCACCCTGCGGATGAAGTCGCCGCAGTGGACACAGCGGGTGTCATGCTGCTGGATTCCATCCTCCTGGTCACGATGGTGCTGCCTGGGCTGCTCCTCTTCCTGTTCCTCCATTGGTAGGCGGAAATGCACCATGCGGGCAGCTGAGGCGTCGTGATCAGGGATGTGTGGTGTGGGAGTCAGGGCCTGCCCCAGATCCGCGGGGGGTGAAAGAGAGGAAGTAGGAGGTGCGTGAACCATGACGTCGTGACGCCCAGGATGGTGAGCCTCCTCCTCCTCCTCCTCCTCCCTGATTTGTGGGAGCCCGTCGACGGGATCAGGGATGTGCGGCCCGCTCCCGTCACGCTGCTGACGACGGTGCCGCTGGGCCCCGTCGTCCTCCTCGCCATGGTGCTGCGTAGTCGCCTCCTCCTCCGCCTCCTCCTCCTCCTCTTCCTCCTCCTCCTCCTCCTCCTCCTCCTCCTCCTCCTGATGCTCGTCATCGCACTGCTCGTCCCGTTGATGCACGTGGTGCTCACGAGGGTGCTGCTGGGGCCCGTCCTCGTCTGGGCGCTCGGCGCGGATGGTGAAGGTCACGTTGGGCGCTCGAATGGCGACCATCGCGGCCCGAATAGTGTCTGCTGTGATCTCCAGGCCGTCCACGCGTGAGATGATCCAGTTCACGTGGCACCCCCGCATACCAGCCCGATGAGCGGGGCTGTCGGGTTCGACGTTTGCGACGCGCAGGGAATCCACACAAACCTGCAAGCCCGCGGCCCCCCTGTGGTCCCTTGTGATCGTGAACTCAGCGGCCTCCTCCTCCTCAGCCTCCTCCTCCGCCTCCTTCTCCTCCTCCCCGGTGTGCGGCGTACGTATCAGGGCCTGTCCCAGAGCGCCTCCCATGCCCCGTCGAGCTTCCGCGCCACCGTGCGTGAGGCCGGCCGCAAGTTCACATGGAGCGGACCTGACTGCGCCACCCCCCGAGTGCGAATGCACGAAGAATCCTCGTCGCAAACTCCCGAGGAAACCACGGCGCACGCCGGTGGCAGGCGCCGTGCAGCGCCCGTCGTGCCGCGCACGGCATTGCACTGAAGTCGGAGCCAGCCGTGCTGGGGTCGAAACCGGCGGCGCTGGAGTCGGACCCGGCAGTGCAGTCGGCGCCTGCGGTCCTGGAGTCGGAGCTGGCTGTGCTGGTGCGGAGCCGCCGTTGCTGGGGTCAGGGCGGGCGGTGCTGGAGCCTGGGCCATCTGCGTAGGAGTCGGGGCGGGCGGTACTACAATCGGAGCTGTAGTGCTGCAGGGGTCCGTCCTGCTGGGTTCCGTCCTGGTGGGCTCGTAGGCCAAATGGCCCCAGGTCAGGGCGAGATAGAGGAGAGGACGTAGGAGGTGTGCGCATCAGGAATCCACGTCGCAAATGTCTGTGGCATCCACTGCGCCTGCCGGTGGCAGGCGCAGTGCAGCGCCCGTCGTGCCGCTCGTGGTAATGCTGCTGGCATTCGTCCTGCTGGGTTCCGTCGTGCTGCTCCTGGTGAGAATGCTGCTGGAGGCCGTTGTGTGCTGCTCGCAGCGCTGGTGGAGCCTGTCGGGTCGGGACGTGCGGTGTGTATCAGGGGCTGTCCTGGGTCCGATGGAGGAAGGGAGGTAGAAGGGGCGCGAGTCAGGGATTGGGGGGCACGTGGCCCAGGCAACCCCACATCCGACAGAGGCGGAGGAGAGAAGGTAGAAGGTGTGTGGGTCAGGGATGGGAAGACCCATAGCACGTGTCCATCGGTGTGCCCGTCGACGTGCTGCTCGTGATGTTCACGGTGATGCTCCTGAACCTCGTCGTGCTGCTCACGATGATGCTGCTGGAGCCCGTCCCTGTCCAGGCGATCGACACGGATGGTGAAGGTCCTGTCAGGCGCCCGAGTGGCGTAGGGAAGGGCGTCGGGCTGGGAGTCG